TATTATAGAAATTTCATGTACTGTGCTTGTTTAGTAGTGCTTTTTAAGTGCTTATACGGTGTGAGTATTATGTATATAATACTCCCTCCGTTCCAATTATATATACTGAGTTTCCTTTTTCTCTTGTCCCAAATATATAGGCATATTTCCTAATGTAGAATATTTTGTTGTGATCCTTTACTTATATACCCTCATTAAATTTTCCTCACTTAATATGCCAACTTCTTGAAATCATTAAAATACATACATTTCCCACTTCTTGAAAATATGGAACGATTCTCATTTCTTCTTCTTCAAATTCTTTATTAATTCCAATAATAATTTAGTTTTACATACTGAAAATTAAATAGGGGTAAATTAGGAAATATTTTGACAAAAATTAATTTTCCAATGACATTAAAGAAGCTTTTTTAATCCGTGTGAAAAACGAAACAGGTCTATATAATTGGGACGAAGGGAGTAAATGAGTAATAAGTTGTGGATTTTAAGAAACGTGAGAATAAAAATAATGTTTGACCAAACAAACATATGCATCATATACTTGAAGATACGACACACACACACACACACATATATATCGAGCTTAAATATTGTACGGTGAGATCAATGCCTAACTCAAGTGATAAGAGTGAACATGGGTTTGAGTAAAGTGAATAATTTTACATTACGCTAATATTCATTTGTCTATGGATCCCGCTCCTCATATGTCTCTGTGAATGCCATAGTTATATTAAGCCCATGTTTGAGTCACATAGTATTTGACTTCTCTACGGGGATATAAAATTCAAGTCATGTTATTCAATAATGAAAAATTTGATTTTGCAAATGAAAAGGGAAAATATTACATTATACTAGAAAATATTATAATAGTTGACAAAACTTCTTTGACAATCAGTTTCTTCCGTGCTCTTTCTTCTCTTTTCATCACATTCATCTTCACCAAGAATTTGAACTTTTTATCTTCCGACAACATTAGCTTCTTGTAATATTCACACAATTCCTTTTTGTTGGACCAAGGTGAAATCTTTTAGTAACAAGGTGAATAACTGGAGGTAGGATTGCTAGACTTTTGATATTCGGCTTGAAATCAGGCGTGTTTCGTGGCGGAAATAGCGACGAAGAGTTGAAAACGGGACGTACAATCTCGTTTATTATGACCAAGTATTATCAGGTTTTGCCAAATCCTATTCCATTAGGATTAGCAAAGGCCTAACCCTAATGGACCTATGAATTAATTAATTTTATCAATTAATTATAGCCCAGTACACAATAAGCTTCCAATATAAATTATTAAGTTGACAAAACAATTGGACAAATTCATAATGCTTACATTTTCCAGGCAAGTCACAAGTCTCTTGGGGCAAGTCAGTTCACCTTACAACTTATCCAAAGCAAAACTTGGATCGAGCTAAACATGAGTCTGAATAATTTAACTCATTTTAAATCTCAAGCAAAAGATTAGATCACCCTATAAATTCCGACTAATTTTGCATAAATACTGGTTATGAATGATGATTACAGTTTATAATCACCCTTTTCATATGGTAGACTACAATTTTTTGAGCTACCTGCAATTACGGATGAGCAATTTGTTGAGAATTGGAAACTCTAATTTTATTCTGTCGAAAGAAATTAATTAGTAGAAAGAAATATAAACACAAGATAGGTTCTTCTCAATGTGAGACAATGTTTTTTCCGTTGTTGCAGTAATTTACTATGATGAAAAAAGGTTTACAAGAGAGAACTGCTCACTTATCTTCGCTAACGTCTCTCTCTTTTTTGTGGTAATTAAAAAGCCTAATAATGGCTTGGACATGGTTGGGTTTTCGTAGACCAGGACCTGGTGCAATAGTGAAAAATTGAGTGACGTGAACCTCTATGTTTTGAATTGTATGACTGGTTTCATTATCACTTGTATTTGCAACTTTGAAACACTTGTGATCATAGATTTGGCACCAGGGCTTACATAGAAGTCGTAAAAGTTTTGGAAATTTTGTAGATTCTTCTCTACAGGGATATAAAATTCAAGTCATGTTATTCAATAATGAAAAATTTAACGTTGTAATTGAAAAGGGAAAATATTACATTATACTAGAAAATATTACGATATATGATGACATAAAGGCCGTCTATCACTATGAGACCGTCACTAGGCCCTTTACGTCCACACAGGCCGTCATCACTATGAGGCCGTGGACCACCACAAGATCCTCTACGTACATAAAGGCCGTCTACCACTATGAGACCGTCATGAGGCCCTCTACGTCCACACAGGTCGTCTATCACTATGAGGTCGTCGACCACCACAAGATCCTCTACGTTCACATAAGCCGCCTACCACCTTGAGGTCAATACTATACTCAATCATACAAATGACAACGAGTAGGGCGGAAACCACCCAACATCGAACGTGTGCATAACCACCGAATCGCAAGTAGAGGTTGACGCTATAGAACGTGGGGAGAGTGGGAAGGCATACGTGGGATACGTGGCACAATTAATCGTGATACGTGGGGCGTGCCATCAGGTGCCTATAAATACCCCAATGTGCGAAAAGGTATGGCTTCTTGGAACCTGAACTGCTTAAACCCTCAATATATTTTCCTCTTACTTTCCTTAAACACCTACTAATTCTCACGCCGGAGGTACAATGGGGGAGAAAGCCCCAACCTCATCTTGCAGGTAGCAACCACCAACTAGAGCAACCGGACCGCCGCACTCATCAAGGCGAACACGGAGGACTACCTTGCTACTATTTCAATGAACATAACTCGATCTTGACGTGAACCTCTATGTTTTGAATATATGACTGGTTTCATTATCACTTGTATTTGCAACTTTGAAACACTCGTGATCATAGATTTGGCACCAGGGCTTACATAGAAGTCGCAAAAGTTTTGGAAATTTTGTAGATTCTTCTCTACAGGGATATAAAATTCAAGTCATGTTATTCAATAATGAAAAATTTAATGTTGTAATTGAAAAGGGAAAATATTACATTATACTAGAAAATATTATAATAGTTGACAAAACTTCTTCGACAATCAGTTTCTTTCGTGCTCTTTCTTCTCTTTTCTTCACATTCATCTTCGCCAAGAATTTGAACTTTTTATCTTCCGACAACATTAGCTTCTTGTAATATTCACACAATTCCTTTTTGTTGGACCAAGGAGAATATACCAAAATATATTTTATAAAGATGAGTTAATCACCTCATTTTAACTGGAAGCAATATGATATGTTGAAAACACAAAATCTAAATTATATTTTCACCATGAAAAGAGTCTCAGACTCTCAGCACATTTAGTCACATAACATCTTATGAAAGATTCGGTAGCATCAACGATAAATAAATTTCTTGATTACCATATGAAACTATTAACATGAGCAAATATTTTCTAGTAAAAGTTGCGTCCTTAATTTAAAATTTAGGTTATAATTATTATTTTTAATTAAAAACATATATAATTATATATCAATCTCTCAACTAACAACTATACCTATCCAAACCCTATAAAAATCTCACCCACTTCACCATACCCATCCAACCACCACCGTCCCTCACTTTCTCACACACGCTCAACCCAACAAGCTGGCGCACAATACATCGGAGTTGATGGGACGCACACGAAGATGTTATCACCGTTGTAGTAGCGTCGCTCACTTTCTCCAAAGCAGCATCGTTGCTTTTTTTGGTGGCTGGAGTTGGAGGTTGATTTGTGGTGTATTGAAAGTGCAGTTAGCGGCGACGAGTTTGGGGATTTTGTTGGTGGGGGTGGTAGTCGTGGTTTGGTAGAGGTGGAAGAGATGGTGAATTTTAGAGGCATTAGTAGTCGATGCTGGTGTAGGCCGTGGTGGTTCAATTGTGGTTGGTGGGAGTTACAGGTGGAGGTGGATGAGTTAGTTCTTGGAGCTGGAGGTTGTGGGATGGGATGCAGCGATGATGTATGTGGTGGTGTTGGTGAGGTAGTGGTGACGGTGGTGATGGTAATGTGCGGCGGTGGTGGTGACAGTGGTAACGGTGAGATGGTACTGGTGGTGGTCACGAATGGCAGTGGCAGCGAGGTTGCATGGCATTTGATGGTGTCGGTCGTAGAGTGGAATGGGGGTGGGATGAAGAGTGTTTTGATCAATTATTTGGATGATTGTGACTAATAAAATCGTTAATTTGTTTTCAATAAATAATATGTGACTAATAAAGTAGATAATATGTGACCTAAAAAATGTGAGATTGTGACTAAATTTATAATCGCGACTCACAATTTGTTAAATTGTGATCAATTAATTTGATAATCCGTGCTACACATAACTTGTGACCAATTAATTTGATAAGTTGTGACCTATAAAATTTATAATTGTGATCGAGAAATAATGCGTGATCTATTAATTTGATAATTTGTGACTTATAAAATTTGTAATTTGTGATCGATAAATAATGCGTGACCAACTAATTTGATAATTTGTGACTGATAAATAAGTTGTGACATGTAAAATTTGTAAATTGTGATTGTGACGTTATGTGACTAGTACGTAACTCAGGTGACCATAAACTATATAATATTGTAACAATAATATATTTAATTAATAAAATATAATTAATTATAGATTTAATTATGACCTGATTTTTGAAATTTTAAAACAAATTTCTTAATTTTTTATATATATATATATATAACCAATTTAATTATTTCTTTAAAATAATATATAATATATATCTAACACTCTCAAGTAGTAGATCATTTTCATCGTGTGAACATCATGCAGCCTCAAACCTTGTAGAGCAAGGAAAAGTTCAGGAGTTTGTGGACCTTAAGAAAGTTAGTGATTCTTTACCCTATAAGATAATTTTTACCTAACTTTTTCTCCCTATATATAGCACACAAATCTTATTCAAGAGGCTAAACAAAATACTCTGGAGTTACATATAATATCGTTGTTTAAATTTAGAGTTTGAAACACATCACAAGATGATGGTTGATGTGAAGATAATCTCCAAGGAGATGATTAAACCGTCATCTCCAACTCCCGAGCACCTTAGAAACCTAAAGTTATCGCTTCTTGATCAAATGGCACCACCCATTTATGTTCCCCTCATTTTCTTCTATCAATTTGATGAATTGTGCTTCAATATGGTCGGTCGTGCCAACAAATCCCAATTGCTAAAACAGTCCTTATCCGACACCCTAACGATGTTTTATCCATTAGCAGGAAGGATTCAAGAAAATTCCTTCATTGATTGTAATGATTCCGGTGTTGAGTTCGTTGAAGCTCGAGTTCATGCTCGTCTCTCAGATGTTATAAGTGAGCCTAACATGGAAGAATTGAAGAAATTCCTCGCGGTGAATCCTATTGGAATTGGCATTGCCACCCTCTTGGCAGTGCAAATCAATTTCTTCGACTGTGGAGGGATTGCCATAGGCGTGTGTTTGTCACATAAAATAGCCGATGGCACGTCCCTAGTCGAGTTCATCAATGCTTGGGCAGCCACGTGCCGGGGTGAAGTCAAAATTAGTCAACCTTACTTCGATTTGGCACGTATTTTTCCACCTAGAGACTTGTCTGGCTCTAGTTTCACACCAAATACTGGCATGACAAAAGAAAAGATTGTTACAAAAAGATTTGTCTTCGACAAAGAAAAACTGGCTATGCTCAAAGAATTCGCTGGAGATGGATCACAAGTGAGAAATCCTACTAGGGTCGAAGCAGTCACAGCTTTTATTTGGAAAAAATTCATGGAGGTTATGAAAAATAAGATGCACGAGAAGAAAATGTTTGCTGCAGTTCATGCAGTGAACTTGAGGCCAAGAGTAAGCCCACCACTTTCAGAAAAAGCTTTTGGAAATTGTTGGAGGCCTACGATTGCATTTCTATCCACGTCTGAGGATGATAACAACGAATGTTCTGATCTTGTACCGGTGCTGAGGAGCGCGATAAAAAAAATCAATGGTGATTTTATCAAACAAGTGCAGGACGGGCAGTATTTGAACCAATTGTGTAAATCAGTGGATATATTCTTGAAGGGAGATGTAGAACATTATAATTTTAGCAGTTGGTGTAGATTTCCTGTGTATGAGGTGGACTATGGTTGGGGCAGGCCGTGTTGGGTGTGCACGACGACGTTGCCATTCAAGAACGTAGTGATTTTGATGAGTACACCATGTGGGAATGGCATTGAAGCATGGGTAAACTTGCTAGAAGAAGACATATCTACTTTTAAATTATAAGTAGATTGTCTTGGGGAATAATGTGAACAAGGAGAGAGACGAAGTGGATTACAACGTTGTCAAGGTCTGACCTGATTGTGGAAAAAATAGAAAAATGTTATTCATCCCCAGTAGGGATGCATTCCCAGTCTATGTGGATGTAAATGATAGGTGAAATTAAATGACTTATTTAATTTCACCTATCATTTAATGTCGCATTAACACCACATAGACTGAGGATGCATTCCCACTGGACATGAATAGCATTTCTCGAAAAAATATGGGTGTCCTAAGCTCGAACTGTTAGCTTGTAGCAAAGCATATATGTTTCGTTTGGGGGAACAAATATGGGTGTCTTAAATTCTCATAACATTATTCGATGAGAAAAATAAATCTAAATAAAATCATATATTTGTTGCCTAAGAAATGGCAAAGCCAAATTTCTCTTTAGATAATACTTCGAATCAAAATAAAATAGCGTATGCATAATCTTTCCATGTTTAAATTTTGTCTTCAACACACTCCTTTGACTCGATATCTTATTGAACCACCAGGCTTAATAGCTTAAACCGATCTTATATCATATATTTCGTCGACTGAACGAGATGAATTAGCCAAAAGCTTGGAGCTTATGGATATCTCTTGTTCAAGCTTTTTCATATCATCTTCAGTCATGACAATCCATGCTTCAATCCCGCTAGATGATTTTGAATCCAACATGAAAATTGAATTCCTGTTTGAAAAACTTGCACTAACCCAATTAGGTGTTCCCCAGCCAAAATCAGTTTCATAGAGTGGGAACCTGCAATAACTGTTAAATCTGAAAATTTCACAATCCCCTTGGCCTAATAATTTACTGATCTGCATGAAATTATTCTTCACAAGTTCATATCCATTTTCGCCGAGCAATTCATTTATGAAATCACTGCTAATTTTCCTGAATGCGGCCCTCAATTTCTCGACCAAGTGAATCCAATCCGTCTCCTCGGAATTAACAGCGCTCGTCATCTGAAAAATATTACCTGTTGAATTCAAAATTTAAATGAATACTTAGCTTTCAGACAAAAAATTAATATGATGTTAAAGCCAGGCACAAAACTTGGATTCAAGTATCATCTCCACCTATTTATAAAAAAATATTGTGATACGTTTTAGACATTTGATGAAAAATGAATGCAGGTCAGTGGCAGAGCCACAGGGGGTGGGCGGGGGTGCAACCGCTCCTGTAACATTTGAAATTTTCTTTTAATTTATGTAGGAATATATTTTGGAGTATTTTTTTGTATATACAAAATATATGTATATTTTGCCACTTCAACATTTTTCATCCCCTTTTATCATTGAAATTCTGACTCTACTACTGAATTATGGTCTGCACATGGGGTGTGCTGAAGACAAGATTTAAATCAATAAAAAAGAATTTAAGCTTTCAGATGAAATGATTAATATTACCAAATGAATCATCTGTCAATGCTGGAACTCGTCCCCTCAGATTCACCGGATGGAAAGCCACAGATTTTCCTGATTTCTCAATCCTTCTCGCGACAATGCACGCCTTCCATAGAAATGCAGATACAACCTCAACTCGAGTCGGGTTTATGATGGAAGAATTGTTGATCACTTGCGATTTGAGAGCATTAATTACAGATTCACTGAAAACAAATCTTTTAGTAACAAGGTGAATAACTGGAGGCTGGATTGCTAAACTTTTGATATTCGGCTTGAAATCAGGCGTGTTTCGTGGTGGAAATAGCGACGAAGAGTTGAAAACAGGACGTACAATCTCGCATTTGGTGCAAGCCATTGAAGACCAACCTTTGATGAATGAACAGAGTGTCCATCCATCAGCAATTCTGTGGGAAATGCAGATTCCAATACTGATACCACCACAGCTGAATAAGCTAACCTGAATTGCATTATAATTTGATTGTTACAAAAAGTATTGAAACTTAACTAGATTATGAAGTTCACTATTGAACCCAATCAATCCCAACCATCTGATTCTCAATTCAAAATTGCTTTCATTTTTCATCGAAACTAAGAAAACTTTTTTCCCGGGTTTATTCAAATCCACATGTTTTTCCTCGCTTAGAATGACGGTCACGGGCCTGCGTAGGCACTCATTTTTATTGAAAAAAGAAAGGAGGAAATTGTGTTTGTATTACAGACTTCTGTTATAGAATAGTGCCACATAGCACCACTAATGTTAGCATCCGTCTAGGTGGCAGTGGACCGACCTGACCCGACCTCTGATAGGAAATTCACATCCCAATACTAGTCCCAACACAGATAAATAAAACTAACCTGTATGGCTATCAATTCTTCTGCATTTGTGAGGCTGCCATTATATTGGTACGGAATAAGCTTTTCCAGCAACTCCACTTCAGGGAATTCTATGACGTCCGAAATCTTGCTATCGACTTTAGCTTCCAAGTACAACGCTCCCTCGTCGTTACAATTGACTGATATCTGACCACCCATTCTTCCAGCCAGAGGATAGAATTGAACCAAAGCATCTGACAATGACTTCTTCAGACAATCTAAAATTTCAGGTTGTTTCATATTTGCGCTTTCTTCGCAAGAATAGTAAAGAACCAGAGGAATATAAGAAGGCGGAATCCTTTCATCGATCACCGAAAGTTTAAAATCCCTTGATTCAGAAGGGGTAGGAGATGATGGTTTGATAAGCTCTGAAGAAACTATTTCTATCTTCATTATGGAAAATGAAATAAAACGATGCTGAAATAATCCAAAATGAAGTTGAATTACTTATTTTATAGTGCAGAATCTGCCGAATATTCTCTCATTTTACATGTAACAACGAAGACAAAAAGAGCAAGCCACCAGAAGAAAAAAAAATATGAGAGCAGTTCAACAACTGTCTGAGTGAAAGAATTTTATAGGCTTCATATTTAGAAATATTGACTTTTTCTGTGATCAACTTGTATGTACTTTTTAACCCCATGTTGTTCGAAACTTACTACTTATAATCAATTATAAGCATAGACAAACATGGACTGAGAATGAAATATGGCTTATAAGAATCACAACCACTTGTTGCAACTTCAAATCAATCATTGACTTCTGATAGTGATCTCAAATAGCTACTTCACTAAAATAAACTTTTTCTCTACATACAAAAATAAAAATTTTCTACGACTTTTTTTATATGGACCGCAAGGGAAGTAGTACATAGGCCAACGTCCTTTGCTTGATAGTGAATCTTAATTTGTCGGCACCAAAAATTGGTTTGTTGTTGAAATGTCCCAATCCGTGCCGTTGGATTTATATTCTAGTTGTGATAGCGTGAAATAAGAACAAAACACGACCAACAACAATTATTTGAGCATAAAAATTGTCTTTGGATATTTTTCATGGAATCCACAAGCAATGCTTATTTATCCATCACTCATTTCTATCTATTTTAATAACGAACCTGAAAAATTACAAAATCAATAAGCACAATGAACAACTATAGAAGAATGTATTACTTTTCGAGGTACCAAGATGTAACGAACAAAACGTAAATTTTACCTATTTTGCGCTTGCCATTCTTGGGACTGTCACTGCCATGAACCACATTCCTGCCAATGGGATATCATAAAGTGTTGTGCATAAATAATTTGAAAGATGTCGAAATGATAGAATAAAAATCCTTATATTCTATGAGGTGGAGAGTGATTAATTAAAATCTAGTGGTTGGACCTTCCAGTTTGAACTGCAAGATCTCCTCTGATTGTGCCCGGCTCAGCATTAAGTGGATTCGTTACTCCAATTTAACTTACGAGCTGATGCAACGGCACCAACACCCAAGCCTAAAGAGTTTTACTTATAAGTATTTGGATTTTTACATATTTTGAGCCTAGCCAAACATGGTGCAACTTATAATGCTGATTGTCAATGAAAATTCATTGAAAAGAGGACATGCTAATACAATCAATCTCTACCAAATTCATGATTTTGAGTCAGATTCAAACCAAATTAAACATAAGCACATTATTATAGAGCAAGTATTATACTTAACAAACAATGCAATACCTTTCTTCCATAAGTAATTATGAAAATTATAAACAAACCTGAGCTAATTCTTCAGGGCATTTGAAGAGCTTCAATCCTTTTAGCTTAAACCCCTTCTTCTCAAATCTTGAAATTATCTCTCCAACCCGTAAAAGAAAGTATAATTCAAAATCAACTTCTCAAAAAATCAAAACACTCATCAAGAACACTAATTTATCCCCCAATTTAAACCAAATTCTTAACAGTTGATGAAATCTTACAGGGCCACGTTGAACTCCATCTGGCTTAATCATAGTATAAGTCTCTTCAACTCCCTGTAAATTCAACAATAAAACAAGAACATAAAACTTCATATGGGATCTTGAAAACTAATCACAAATGCTAAAATGTGCATACACCCCCGCCCCCAAAACACACACACACACTTGCCATGCAAGCAACTAAACAAGAAAATTTAAATTCCACATGACATCTCATAACCCTTAAATGAATTATACGACGGCGAAAAATAAATTATTTTTCAAGAATAATGCTAGACTAACATAGTGCCTAACACAAAGGGTAACCGGATGACGTGGAAAAAGTGGATTCTTATTATTATATTATTCTTCTAATTTCTTTCAAAAACAATGAAAAGAAATGGAAAGCAAAGTCACGTGGATAAACAGTGGCCCATTTACCTTTTTTCTTGAGTAAAGCTACTCAAACAGGGCTCCAAAACAGGGATAATTGACCGACCTCACAGTGCCCGGGACCCACGTGAATAAAATATTGCCAAAATGTGTGGGCCCTCCCCCAAATGTGAGTGGTCGGTCACCTGCCCCTGTTGAGTATTGGGAATTTACTTAATATGCACGGCGAAAAATAAATTATTTTTCAAGAATAATGCTAGACTAACATAGTGCCTAACACAACGGGTAACCGAATGATGTGGAAAAAGTGGATTCTTATTATTATATTATTCTTCTAATTTCTTTCAAAAACAACGAAAAGAAATGGAAAGCAAAGTCACGTGGATAAACAGCGGCCCATTTACCTTTTTTCTTTCCCCATTAAGAATTTGGGCGCCATTTCGCTTCAGCTTTCCCCACGACTGTTTTCCCCCATTTTGTTTTCTTCATTTCATCTGCATTTTTTCACTCACACTCTGCATGTACACATTGAACTCCGGTTAGTTTCATTAGATAATTTTCTCGCTCAAAAGCCTACTAACAGGGATAGATTTTCTAATGTGGAGAGGTTACAACATCAATTAATCTAATTCTATCCTCTCATTTGGGTTTTATTTCTTTGGACTACTGCAGCAAAAATAAGTTTGTTCTTTGTATTTCACTTACTACATTAAATTTTGAAAGAAGTTCTATTATTTTGAACAAAAGATTTGGAAGTGGCCAAATTCAAAAAATTGTTCCATTTTAAAAATGAAGTTGGAAGTGGGCAAATATTAGAGAGGGTGGCTAGTGGACTAATTCTAAATTTAGGCCAAAATACAACTTTTTAAGAAAGAAAAAAGTTACAAAGGAAAATAGAAAATGGGCCAAGCTGTACTGGGCTGAAGCCCAGTGCAGCCTCCCCCCGCATCCGCCTCTGGTTAAAATGTTGTCATCCAACATTGCAATTTTCACCGGACAAGAAGATACCAGGTTAGTCGCAGTATAATTTAACATTTTAGTGCTTGCCTGAAATGTTAGAAACTGATCATGAAATTTGGTAATGGCTTTCAAGAATTTCCATGTGTTCTTCTGGCATATTTACCCATGCTTCAATGCCATCCCCACATGGTCTTCTCTTCAGAATCCCGTCGTTATTGAATGTAAACATTGTAGTGCTTACCCAACATGACCTACCCTAACCGGTGTCCACGTTATACACAGGATATTTGCACCAACTACTAAAACAACAAAACTCTATGTGATCCCCTTTCAGTATATACATTGTTTTCTTTAAACGATCATTCAAATACTCCCCGTTTTGCACTTGTTGGTTGATTGGCCCCGTTTGACTCTCTTCAAATTAAAGTTATTTATTTTTCATTCTCATTTTCAACTACACATCCACACAATAAAATATTCTATACGTAAATTCAAAACTTTTCCTACTTTTTAAACACATACTCAAAAAAATCACTATTCGGAATATCATTTTTCCCCAATTTCTCTTAATCTTATTGCGTTCCTCCGCATAGGTAGAAGGTCGGAATATTCATTGTTGTTATTATGATCCCATGAGGATAATGCATACGTAGGACAATAACAATTTCAAAAATTTGTTCTGAAAATGGTGGGCATGTTCTTGGCCTCAAGTTTGCTGCATGAACTACAGCAATTGGTTTTTTCTCGTCCATCTTATTTCTGGCTAACCTCCATGAATTCTTTCCAAATAAAAGCTGAGACTACTTCTGTCCGATTGGGATCTTTTACTTGAGAAGCGGAAGCCATTTGTTTGAGCTTTAGACAATTTTTCTTTATAAAACACAAGACTTTTTGTAACAATCTTTTCACTTGTAAGTCGCTTATTTTGTTTGTGTTAGATAAATAGAGGAATGAGAATATGGCAATATGAAAGTAAACAATCACAAACACAAGATTTACGTAGAAAACCATGGACAGAGGAGAATTTAATATATGACAAAAGAATGCAATGATTTTATATTTTCAACTTGTTCTCTATCACAATGAAGAGCCAACTATATATAGAGTTTGTGTCAACCCTAATTATAGTATTTTAGATGGAAAGAATATCTTAAAATTCGTCAAGTCGCGAAATAGGCCTGAGTCGGATAACACCAGCGCTCAGCGGTGACCTCATGAGAAGAGAGCGCCGTGTCTGGCGCTCGATCGCCAAGCTCGTGGGTAGCGAGCAGCTATGGTAGCGCTCAGCTGCTGTAGGTATGGCGCTCAAGCACCTCATCCTTGCTCCAAACTTCTCCTGATGCTCCGAATAACACCTAGGCGCCTAGATGTGGCACCCAAGCTCCCAATCTCTGCCCCAAATAACCTTTTGTTCATCTTTTGACTTTTCTAGGACATTTTCAACCAATCCACCAATACCCAACGAAATTTGGGTCAGACTTCAACAGTTTGTAACCAGAGCTGGACAAGTCTCTTGGTGAAAATGAAGTGCCAATTCGAAGCATGGTCGAACTATTTCGGCATTTCCCGGGCATGTGACCACCCAAGCATTTATGAATGACACTGCAAACATGCCATCAACTATTTATGCGACGAACACATACCCATGGCAACTCCACGAGTAGGATCCACAACCACTAATTTCTTCAATTCCCCCATATTAGCCTATTGTATAACATACATAAGACGGGAGCTTGAACTCGAGCTTCAACAAACTCAATGCCGGAATTGTTACAATTAATGGAGGAATCTTTTTAGATTCTTCCTGCTAATAGATGTAGTTGGGGCGTAAAACAAAAAAAAAAAAAAAATTGCGGATGGGCATTTATGAGATCTACTCAAGCCACAATTTAGCTGTGCTTGATTAAAAAAAATGCTGCAAGCAAAGAAATTAAGGTCAAGAAAATTAATACTGTTCCATAACGTTGGTTCTATCTTTATTGACAACATATAAATATAATATCTAAGATCTTTTATGAGATCTTTTCAAGCTACAAGTCGGTTGTGCTTAAAAAAAAAAAGAAAAAGAAAAAAGCTTCAAAGAAATAGAAATTAATATAATTGGATTTTGTCTTCGATTTTCACTATTTAGCCGAGGAACTATGTGCTGGACAAGAGAATCACTTATTTTTATAATTGGATCGACTTATTTAGCTCAGAATATATTGTACTTACTTTGGAGACATTATTGAAGAGTAGAATCTTCCAACAAGAAGGGCACTAGTCACTAGAGAAAACAATATATCTGATCACGTCACACTGAAATTGCTTATTTCCCCTGATTAGAATTAATAAAAATAAGCTGAAATTAATCTTCTTTTTGCAAACAAAGAACGAAAGGAATATTCAGTTTTACCTACATGCCAGATTCTACACACACGAACCAGCAGAAATTACTTATTTTCACTCCAACCTATAATTCAGTATTGATTATTGTCTTATCATATTTGTAGGGACGATTCAAAGAAAAAGTTTTCAGCATTTCCAGCAAGATGCAGCCACAATAGGATTAGATTTCCAACCCAGCACCAAACAACCTTTTTCTTCCACATTGGTGTAGCCTGCAATTGCATTAATGTTATTTAGCCATTGCTTGGCTTGAGTAAGCATTTTTAACGGTGCTGGCTGAAATCCGGCCCGGCTCATCCTCCTGCAACATTGGTCGACCATCTCTTGTCTTTCGACCCTAGCCGGCCCCTCACAGCTCACGATGTCCTTGATTTCATCTGCAAAGTAAAGTTGTTCCATCTCAGCATGTTTTGTGTCGTATTTAGGAAGCATAGTGTTGTAGTGTGACCCAAATTCCATGTGATTTGGTGTTTGGTTGAATAGAAGAAGTCTAAGGAATTTTGGTTTTGAGATTCCTAATTAATATTGATCAAATTTTATTAAAGATTGAGAATTTGGCTTGGAAAAGGATTTTGGGATGAAGAAATATATCTTAGAGGCATAATTACTGAAAGTGGGCGTCGCAGCGCCATTGTCTCGATGCCGCAATGCTTGTTGAAGAAAAGGAAGGCAGAAGCCCAGCACCGAACATGGGGCGCCAACTGTTCTTGTGGATTTTTCCCATCTTAGGTTTTCACATAAATCTTAGTGTTCTTAGTTGTTCTTGTTTATTTCATTATTATCATTATTTTGCAATCAATTCATAACATGTGGTATCAGAGCAAGGTTAATTTTTCACATGGCATCAATGAAATATGATATTCCATTATTGGATCAAAATAAGAGATTTACTTTATGGCAAGTGAAGATGCGAGTGGTTCTCGCCTAGATGAATTTAGAAGAAGCCTTGCTTGGCTTTAATAAAATGCCTTCAACCTGGACACGGTATGAAAAGTAGCGTAGGGATTCATCTACATCTTTCAAATCAAATTCTTCAAGTTGTTTTAAAGGAGAAAAGTGCCGCTACATTGTGGTTGAAGTTGGAGCAACTTTGTATGACAAAGAACTTGACGGGCAAGTTACACTTGAAACGTCGCGTGTATTCTCACCGGATGTCTGAAGGTGCGTCGTTGGATGATCACTTAACTATGTTTAAAGAAATAGTGGTCTATTTGGAAACATTGGAAGTTAAGTATGATGAGGAGGACTTAGACTTCGATGTTGTGTTCATTGCCGCCATTATATGTGACTTTTAGAGATATTATTATCTATAGTCGGGATACTTTCATTATAGAAGAGGTCTATGATGCTTTACTATTTAAGGAGAAGATGAGGCATTTTGCTGGAGGATCTGGGTTCCAGGATGAAGGCCGGTTGTTCTTGGGAGAAATCAAGATAGGAATCTTTGTAAAAATATGAGGAACAGATAGAAATGTAGACATGTGGAGAAAACATGTAACTTTTGTAAGAAAAGGGAGCATAGTATAGCATATTGCTATGCTTTGAATAACAGAAACAAGACTGCTGGTGCTACTAATAAAGGAAAGTAATCTGTAAACACAACGGATGCTGATGTTGTGGAAGATGGGCAAAGTGAAGGCGAGCTTCTTGTAATTTCTGATATGAGTTTCAAACCTTGTCTTGAATGGGTTCTTGACTAGACATGTACTTTTCATATGTGTCCCAACAAAGACTGGTTTACAACATATAAAGGAGTTTCGAGAGGTGCAGTGATTATGGGAAACAATGCGCTTTGCAAAATTGTCGAAATTGGTATAGTCAGGATTAGAATGTTCGATGGGGAAATTAGAACACTTATAAATGTAAGGCATGTTCTAGAACGAAAGCGGAATCTCATATTTTTTAGTGCACTTGACTCAAAGGGTTATAGATATAATGGAAAATGTAGAATTTTGAAGGTGAGCCGATGTGCTCTTGTTATCACGAAATGGAATAAAAGCTATACACATTTGTACATTTTATAGGGTTCCACAGTAATGGAGATGCAACAATTTCTACTTCTTCTTTGACAAATGAGAAAATTACAAAATTTTGGCATACACGATTCAAACATATGAGTGAGAATGGTATGTCAGAGTTGAGTAGAAGTGTGCTTCTTGATGGACAGAAGACAACAAAGATATATTTTTTGCGAGCATTGTGTTTTTAAGAAACAGTGGAGAGTCAAATTCACTAAAGGGAGACCAACACGAAGGGAACACTTGAGTATATACATTCATATCTTTGAAGACCGACTAGGGTATCTTCAAAATGAAGTGCTTATTACTTGCTGACAAGTGATTGGTGATATTTTCAGAAAAGTTTGGGTATTCTTCTTAAAGCGGAAGAGTGATGTGTTTGGGACTTTTAAGGAGTGAAAAACAATGGTAGAAAAGTAGACTGGAAAGCAGGTGAAAAGGCTTGTACAAATAATGGGTTAATTTTTTTGTTCGGATGAATTCAATAGCTTCTCCAGGGTTGAAGGCATCTTCGAACATTTGATAGTGCCTGGAACTTCGCAACAGCGTGATTTGGCAGAACGAATGAATAGAACTTTGATGGAAAAGATTTGTTGTATGTTTTCAAATTTTGGGTTGCTTAAGACTATTTGGGCTAAAGCTGCAATTATAGCTTGTTTTCTGATAATCGCTTACCCTCAATTGACAATAAGAAAAAGACGCCAGAGAGGTATGGTCTGGTAAACCTTCTTATTATTTTGATTTGAAATTTTTTTGGTGTCCTGCTTATGCTCATATGGATAATGGAAAGTTGAAACCTAGGTTTAGAAAATGCATCTTTCTTGGGTATAAATAAGGTGTGAAGATGTATAAATTATGGTGTCCTAAGATAAGAAAAGTTGTGATTAGTAGAGATGTAGTATTTGATGAATTTGCTATGATTCATGGTTCACCTCATGGGGATTCTGATAAAATTTAGGACCATAATTATTCAACTCTGGTGGAGCTGTAAATTGGTCCAAAGAGACAGTCAGAGTTTTTAGTACACTCTACTACATATCAGACTAGTTGAGAGCTGACGGACAGTAATACTTTGCTTACACCACCAGCAACGCCACAGTATTCAATTGCTAAGGATAGAAGACAAATTAGTTATATGTAGAACTTGAGAAGAGAATTTACATGCAACAACCAGAGGGCTTTATAGTTTCTGAAAAGGAAGACTGTGTGTTTGTCGAAGAAGTCTTTGTATGGACTGAAGCAGTCACCAAAACAGTGATATAATAAAATATTTGATTCATTCATGACTACTCATAATTTCATTAGAAGTAATTTTGATAGTTTTGTGTACTTCAGAAAGGGAGATGATGGATCGATCACATATTTGTTATTATATGTTGATGATATGCTTATAGCAATCAAGGATAAAGCAGAGGTCAGGAAGGTAAAATTTCAACTTAG